CAAAATTGAATGGGTCTCTCCCCCATAGACATGGGAACATTAACATCTAGTAGAGCCTATTTATAAGCGCCGTAAAATGCAGCACCGGGTCCGGGCTATTAGGTGCGTGTTGTTGTTTGACAACAAATACAAGGACCGCAGCGCTCCGCACAGCTCTCGGCTCGCATCTCCGCTGTGCGTTCGTTACACATCATTGACAGCAAATTATCCACATTACCTGAATTGTCAGACCGGTCGCCCATTAGCCATTACGGCGGTGTGAACGTGACCTTTGGTGGCCATTAAATGGCACACTTTGAGTCAAACACAACGCAGCGCATTCGCTGCTAGCCGTACGAGTCCCGAGTCCCGCGTCCCGGAATCGGAAATTTATGCGATTCTTGACACTAGTTGCGTGGCAGTCTCCAGCTCTCTGTGGTGCTCTCTCCTCTGCATGCCTGAGATGTTTAGTTTCGAGCTGTTAGACGATTTCTATATAGCAAATGAAATGCGTGAGCAATAATGTGGTTGTTGACCCGCGGGAGCGGGAAGGCGGTTTCTCCGTCAACTTATTCGTTGGTAACAGGTGCCTGGACTCGGAGGCAACCAGAGCAAAATGGTGCCCAAGCAGTTACATAGTTTGTGCAACCAACATAAATAACTTAGTGGGTAGCATGCAGCGCCGTGAAGTATGCAACTGGTTTTTTGGCTAAGACTTGAGCAAAAGGAGCCACAGAACTAGGAGAGCAGCGACTTTATATTTAATATTTCCTTATTTTTATGGGTTGTAATGTTTTATGTTTGGTTTTATAATGACTTAAGCTTTGGCTTTCTTTATTGATATCATTTCCTGGGCACACTGCTGATCGATAATGCCAATTAGCACGCAATAAGCTTGAAATTATTAATCGTAATTTCATCTGTAGAAAAAAATCCTATAATAATTTCATCTCTCTTGCTTCAAAGAGCGAAGAGCAATGTGTTTCAGTATTGAAAAGTATAAACTTTCGTGTGGGGGCTGCCCTGCCTCCAACTAACTGCGGGAATCTCATAGATTATTGCTTCGTATTACTCATATTGATTTCCAGCCCAAAAAGAAAACAAGGAGCGCGGCAGGGCAGCGGATGTGTTGTGTGTGTGTGTTCATGGGTTGAATTTACTCGTAAACCGAGCGAGCACTCACAGTGATTGCTTTGCTGGGCGGCGATGCCGAATGAATCAAGTGAAAATGTGAATGAATTTCGCACGTTTTAAGTGCCAAATTATCGGGTGCTCAGGGGCGGAAAGGTACATATCAAACAGTTTTGCTGCACAGGTTTAAAAACAATAAACTTTCAACAAGCGGCAGGCAGCAAGCAGCTAGCAGCAATCTCCAGGCAATTGTATTTGTTGCGGGAATGTTTGTTTATTTGTTTAAATTTAGAATATCGACCACATTAAAATAGCAAACAGCTTCAAAAGCCTCTCAAGTGGCACCGACCCGACCCGACCCAGAGGAGGAGAGCCATTAAACAGATTTTCAAGATGTATTATGGCCAAGACAAGAGGCTCTTGTTAGCTCTGTAGTACACCGCACTCACCGCATCCACCTTTTGCGGCGAGCAACATTCCCTTCCACGCCACAATGCCAGCATCGGTTGACCCCGCGGGTAATTTGCACTTCAAAGGGAGAGAGAGCCGGAGAGAGCCATGCAATATGTTTATGCCATCAAGTGGGCCAGCTGGTGGTGCTGTTGGACCCCCAAAGATCTATGGCATTTATGAGTAACGGGAGCGGAACAGGGGGCCGGTCCCTGGGAATACCCGGAGTCGAGTGCCATGTGCTAATGAGGCGGTAATTAGGTTCGGTTCGATTCGAATTCCCCCAATGGCGGCTGCCTCCCCCTCCCGCCAGCACCTAATTATCGCACATTATTGGAGCAGCAAGTGAAATAATCTGTGGCGAGAACTAGTCAGGGCTGCTCTCCCGTCCTGTCTGTCTACGCACCTGACATGCCATCATCGATCCTTGTCGTAAGCTAAAGCAGCTGTCAAATCTCCAGTTGACAGCCACTTTCATTTCGATGCATTATTAAAATACGGCAGCGGCAGCATCCTGACACCATCCACCACGACGTCCTTGTCCCCAAGCGACCCAACTCACCTCACTCCACTCCACCCCACCACACCAATACACCACGCCACATTCAACCATTCATGGTACAGAGCAGCGCAGCCCAGGTGAGCCATGGCAAAAGCCAAAGCAAAGCAAAGTAAAGCCCGTCGCAGACATCTTGGCGACTGTCGGGTAGAACTCTTGTTTATTTTCCATGGGAAAGTCAGCCATGGGGGCTACTGTTGCTGCTGTTGCACTTGGCAATCGACTGGTGCTGCTGCTGCTGTCGTTGTTGTTGTTGTTGCCTCTGCTGCTGCTGCTGCTTCTGTTTATGTATGTTGTGTGTTTGTATGTAAATACCAAGTACAGTACGCAAAACTTCATGCAGTGCCCCATGCCCCAGAGTCGTCCACAGCCACATGCTCGAGTCCGGAACACACGCATCGCAGCAGCAGCGGCGCAACAAAGGCACGTGTAAACAACCGGAGCTAGGCCCCCGCTCCAGCTCCACCCCACTGGAAGGCAACTGCTTCCCATTCTGCCCACCCATAAGTGACGATATAACAAGAATGCGAGGCACTTGTTGCCACATCGAAGTTTCTATACCCTCCAGGCGATCGAAAAACCAGAAAAGAACAAAGAACAAAGTCTCTTGAGAGAAGATTCAATTTGGTGGCAAAACTTGTGGTTTAACTGATAAGCGCCGTTGCTGTTTTTTCCTTTCTCGCGCTCTCTCCTTGCATAGTGTTTATCTTTCATCTCTTTGCCTTTTAACTGTTCAATGGTGAGAGGCAGCAGCGAAGCTTAAATACAACCAAAACAGAGCTACTATTGCCATCCCTTACTGGCCCCCTCAAATTGTGTTCTGGTTAAGCATAAGTGGAGAGCACAGGTACCGGTGGAGAGTGCGAACGTGAGAGAATTAACTGTTAAAGTTGTCACAGCCTCGCTCAGCTATCCATGCTATCCCTTTCACACTTCAACAACGATTATCGGCAGTTTTAGAGCGAGGCAGAGATCCCACCGGTAAATATGACAGAGCTCACAACAATCTCTCCACACCCGCTTCTGTGTAGAGTGCATAATAAAAAGGGCATCTACGTATGAATATTTTTTATACGGAATGCAGGCCGTCAAGGCGTGGCGCGGCAGACAGAGTGGCGTCAAAAGTTGCCCGAGTCGTGGACTGGGAGGGAGTCGGAGGTCGGGCTGTGCCCCTACATGTGAGTATGTATGCATGTACATATGTATGTGCCAGTGGCTGCCTTGGGGAGGCTGGCTGTTATGAAAACAACGGCAGCCAAAAACCACTTGGCACGGGCCGCACCTCGTTGTTGAGCCCGACCGACCCAATGCTAAATTCTCGACTCGACAGTTTGATATGCGGTTTGGCAGAGCCAGCAAAATATCAGTTTTCCATTGCAGAACAGGACCACTGGCAGCAGGAACACCAGCAAGGAGCTTTCCACTTGCTGATTTAATTCTCCATGGCCGACTTTTGGCCAGGCCCTGGCTTTGGTTCGTGTTTGGGTGCTCGCCGAGGCGTGGGTGGTCCAGTGGCCAGAGGAAAAACTCGTCAAATGTTTACAAGCAAATATGCCACATCATCAGAGACAAAGCGGCAGAGGGGGAGAGGAACTACCGTTGGATGCAGTTGGGGTGTTGTGTGGTGTGCTCTTTAACTGCGCTTCTCTGGGAATTTGTAGTTTCCCCTCTCTTGGACTCACTCACTCTCTCTCTGCAGTTGGAATCTTGTTAAGCCATGACCTGTGGGGGAGTGAGCAGGATGCTTGGGTTTTGGGGGCCAGCTAAAGAGCGACAGAGAGAGAGAGCGAGACAATAAGTTGGAATTCGCTTTGATCTTTTCGCACTTTTAAATGTTTGAGAAATCTTTGTAAAAGGCATGAATCGGATTTCGGAGAACCAATAAAAAATTAATGGCAGGCAGTCTGTTACTGTTGCGGCTGCCACTGTGGCAGCAGCAGCAGCAGCAGCGGTTGTTATTTGTTTTTTAAATTTTCTGTTTGATAAAGCGCACCACAAACAAAATGGGTGGCAAAAAGCGAATTTCCCTTCGAAATCGGGAAAAGAAATAAATATATGTACGCTGGATGCCATATACGGGAGCGGGGCCGGCAGAGATGTGCAACTAGTTCAATGGAAACACGGCTGCTGCCTGCTCGAACGCTGTCTCTTTCACTCTCTGATTTACATTTGATTCGATTGGAAGGCGGAAATCTTTGGCAATTGCAGATTAATGCCCTGACAGCTGCCTGGCTGCCAGGCTCCTGGATTTCGAGAGCCTGGATCTCAGCTCCCGTTGCCTTCTCAGGTGTCAGGATACTTTGCGCTGATTAGATAAACATTTTGGGGAAATGTGTTAAGCCTTGTTTGGCTTTTGTTTTTCCACCCGCGCCACGTGGGGGAGGCGGGCTAAGTGCGGGCTGTGCCTTTAAAGCCAACTTTCTGCGGGCCAAGACAGCGGCCCAGCGCAAATGGCATTTTTATTGAGCCATTAAAATTTTCGTTTCGTTTCGTTTCTTGGATTCGATGCCTAGTCGAGAGTCCTGGGTCGTGGGTCGGGGTTCGGTCTCCGTGTACGTAGATGGCGATATCTGGCGGCCAGGACATCGTTGCTCTCCCCGCTGCTGCTGCTGCTACCCCTCTAACATTTTGATTAACGTGCTCCTGATGCTCGTTATACCTGGTACTTATAGCGGATGAGGAGTATTTGGAGTGCTTGGATTTGTATGTAACAGGTATCTGTGGCGTCTGGAGCTTTGAAGAAATGGGAATACTATTTGGCAAGCCTTTAGCTAGGAGTATCCTCCATCTATGCACCAAAAGTCATTGCAATTGGTTAGTTACTAAAGCCACTCCAAGATGGAGTTATAAATATAATTAGCGGGTATTCTCCAGTCGAAGTCTCGACCATTGTCTTCCTTTCAACTTGTTTTTTTATGGGGATGGTTTGTTTTTTTTTTTTGCCTTTTTGCGTGCCCGCAAATATCCCACCTAAGGGGATAAAGTTGTGAAATATTTTGGGATTTGCGCGACTTAGGCGCTGTCCCATTCCCATTCCCATTCCCACTTCCACTCCATGGTTACCCCCCATACCTTTCGCGTGGCTAAAACGCTGTAGGTGATTAGGCAGCAATCCATATTTCTTGCGGCCAGCGATCGTTCCCGGCCCGTTTTTCGGTCAGCGGCGCTAAAGATTTATGTACATATTTGTTTTTGGCTTTTCGGGAATTTGCCTCATTAGCTGCATCCCTTGTCTTGGCCCCCACCACACCCCGACCTAAATCTCAAGCCCACACCAAGCAATCCAACAGCCATCACACCTGGGGGCGTGTGCGTGTGCTTATCACATGAATGTCATTACGCACCTCTGCCTGAGACAACACCCCAACCACATCTCCACCTCCAGCTATAACTTTGTGCCCCCGCCCCCATCCCTGCATAAAAGTGCGAATGTGAATCCGAATGGGAATACGTGAGTTCTGCAAGTTATGTGCGCGTAAGTGAATGAAATTACCGTAAGGCATTTAACCAATGCAAGAAAGACTCTCGGAATAGATACATAAATGACAATGCCACGAGCAGGCGGCAGAGGGAACAGGCAGCTGTAGCTGAAGGGATAGAAGACTCGTATATCCCCAGCCACAAAACGTTTAAAGACGCTCCTCAGCACTTGGTATAAAAATTGTGCTGTTTGCCTCCACCTCCTCTCTCTCTCTCTCTCTTTCTCTCTATATCTCTCCATCTCTCCATCTCTCCACTCCCACTCTCTTGCTTACTCTTTCCGTCTCTCTGCTGGTGTACGGCGTAAGGCGCGCTTATCGTTTTGACAGGAATATCTGCGCTTTCTAAATGCCGACGCCGTCGTTTATGACGCTGACTGCTGCGCTTACGATTGAGTCTGCCACAGCCAACAGCCAACAGCCACCAGCCATAGCCACATCATAGCTGAGCTGAGCAGAGCAGAGCAGAGCTGTGCCCCCCACATCTCTCTCTGGCATCTCTCCATCTGAGGAACCTTCTTTTGTCGCAGCATTTGCCGTGCGCCGTAAAAACGTGCTGTGCCTGGTTGTTACTTTAATGGCTTTTACTCCCCACGAATCCCGGAGTCGTCAGGCGAATTATGGAAGCTGCCGTCGCCATCGTCGACTGGGATCCCTTGGCTTCGTCCTGGCTTTGTTTTTCAGCACTTTCGCGTGCCTGCGTGTGTATTTAATAGTCTGTGGTTTGACATTGACTGCCATGAGGCGCTATATACACACGGCTATGCGATTGCCAGGCGAGAGTATATACAGATATACTCTGCCCAGAATTATATACACATAAAGTGCTCTGCATTAATGCGCCGCTCAACTTGTAAGCCGTGCCAAAGGGCTGAAAGGCTGGCGATGATTTCGTGCCCAGCGAGATCCATCTGCCCCCTGCCTAGTGCCCCCTGCCGCAGTACCTGCACACAGCCCAGTGTTTCGATTATCGTGTCAAATTTTAATTACTCAAATTACAGCGCGGCTTTTTATGCCCACGATTTACTTTCTCTAATGCGCTCAGACTCTGCGAGACTCCTGCCCCCCCTCTTAATGTACATCTCTCAGAGAGTTGTCAACGCTGTCAGAGAATGTCTTTTGGTCATTAAACATCCGGACTGGTCGAGACGCAGGCGTGGGGCGGCGTGGATTTGTGGGAACATTTTAAAGCCTGCTAAATAAGTGAGACAATTGACCCGAGGTGACTCTTTGTTCCTCAAGAGATGGTAGGCAGTACCGAAGCGGAGAGATAGGGAATTTTCTTAGATTTTGCTGGGCAGAGGTGAGCGCAGCTTTAAGGTTTATTTTGCCATAAAAGTGAGTTCGGATTAAGTCATCTTTGCGTAATAATTATGCTTAATATTAGTTATTCTGTTGTATAACCGCAAAGGTATCAGAAAATATGGAGATAAGCAACAATCCAACTTACTTGAAAATTAAAGCTATGAAATTGCAAATAAAGCAACGAACTTGACTGACATTACAATCAATAGACGGAACTTGGAGCAATTGAATAACCTTTCAATGAATCTCTAAATAATAAACCTTTGGGCTGAAATAAGAAATAATAAGTTCAAAGATTTACATAAACATAAAATCCACACTGGAGACGCAATCAATACAAACTTTCAGCAAATTCAAATACATTATTTGCAACCATTTCTGATCATTTTTATAAATTTGGATTGCCCGGCTCTTATCATTTTTGCTAATGCATTTTGTGGGTGGGGATGCAGAGATAGAGAGAAAGAGAAAGAGGGAACCTTTTTTCTGCCAAGTTCATCAATTCGCCGGCAATTTGACACGCAGCTCTGGGTCTATTAACCAAAAGCGAACCATGGCCAAAAGGATTTGCCCGGCAACGGCAACCAGTAGCCAAAAAATATATCTGTCTATCCATCTTTGGTTTAAAATCTGCTGGAAAAAAAAGGGAGAGGGGAAGGAGGCTGATGCTGATGCTGAGGCTGAGAGTGAGTAGAATGGGCGATGGCAGGGTAATAGCAGCGACGACTTAGGCCGCGTTAGTCCTTTAATATGCCAAGATTGACGTCGATTATGCATTAATAGGACACGCACTATAAATAACGCGCCTCTGGGCGTCGCTCGCTCTCTCTTCCCCTCTTCCCCTCTCTCACGCGCTCACGCTCTCTATGCAGTGTCGTGCCGTGACGTCTGAGGGGCCTAATGAACGGTTTTTTGAGCATACGTTCCACGTTGCCGCCCCAGGGAGTGAGTGGGAGAGTGACAGATAGAGAGTGCCCGTGCCCGTTGGTGGGTCGCATCCCCGCTTCGAATTTTGCGCTGACATTGATTGATTATAAATCGGCATACATTGCAAATCCAAAGAGAACACAATAACTGCTCTGCTTATCCTTTTGTGTGGTTCTTGTTCTGCTGCTGCTGCTGCTGCTGCTGAGGCTGCTGCTGCTTCTGCGGTTGCCTTTGTTTGGTCTGTGACAGCTTTTAATCTAGCACGAGGCGACGGAAACATCAGCCACCACCCACCCAAAAACCACCAACAACAATGATATGGGACAGCTAAAGTGCCTGGAACTCGAGCATATTTGAAAATCACTTTAGTTCATATTTCGGACACACACATTGAGCTACAGAGAGACCCTGAGACCTTAGCCAGTTGTCACTCGTGAGAGAGTCCAGTTCTGTTGACGGGGATCCAGTGTACAGGGCGTTAATGATGCGGTTTTTGGTCAGCCGCAGTCTCTATTCAACCCATGCTCAGAGCTTCATTGACTGCCGTACACGCAATTTACATAATGGCCAACGCCTTCTGGCTTGTGGGATGCAAGTGTGGAGTGGAGTGGAACGTAGGAAGGCTTTCAACAGCAGCAACAACAGCAATATCAAAAACAACAGCAAAGAGAGAGAGAGAGAGAGAGAGAGAGAGACTGAACCGTTGATGGCACGTTTTTGATTTCAATTGCTATTGCCAGTAGTTTCACTTGACTTTATGTCCACTCCTGCCCCTGCTCGCTCCCTCTCGTTTGGTGCTTCGTTTTCGATGTCTGGCCTATATAGGTTGCTTGGCGCCATTTTATGTACGTAGCAAAACAAAAGTTATGGCCCGATTTTCCCTATCTATTGCCTATGTCTTGCTCTCACATATCCCCCCACTGCTGAGGGTGGGAGGCGTTCTGGTAACAAGTGGGACATTTGCCAGTTTGTCTTTCTGGCTGTTGTTGGCAGAACAGCAGCAGCAGCAGCAATAAAAACAAGAAAAGAAATCGTTGACGCCACCCTTTTTGCTTGTTTTTGTTGCTCTAAAAGTAACGTTACGCATCTAGGAGTAATGGGAAATCGGCATAAGTAGACGTGTACACAATCCGATGTGTAGTTTTTCTTATCCATGCCCCAACCCGCCGCACCACCCTTTTGCTCTATGATAATTTTAAGCAAGCGAAAGCAAAGCAGAGACAATTACGTGGCCAGGACAATCCTGTAGGTCTGAGAGGACGGAGTTCAGGCTGCTCTGCTATGGCAAATTAATAGGAAATACACACACACACACACGCACACATGTGCTCATACTCATAAAATGTAATGTCATAAGTGCTGCGCTGTAGCTAAAAGATTCCGCTTAACGCGGCTCCCTGCCAGTCAACATCCAAGCAATAGGCAAGAAAATAACGCTAGAGCGGAGGCAGACTTTCGACTGAAAGACACCCGCTAGAGAGTTTAGCTAATGCCTCAAATGGAGGAGCGTACTTGGAAGAAGAGTTTCCGTATTGGAACAAAGAGTTCCATCAGAGAACGCTCAGCCATTTGGCTTCCCCTTGATACTCCCTGGACTGTGTGCGAGGTACAAAATGTTGCTTCCACTGTGGCCTCTGCTCGTGCTGCTATTTGGCTGGGGTAAAATATTCGGATTAGTTATGCTGTTGGTCTGCCCCAGGCAGTGTCTGCCTCGCTTCCTCCCAGACTGGGGGTGGCTGTTGTTCTTCCTTTTGTGACCAAGATGAAGGACCACAAGCAGGACCAGGACTATAACTAATTCCCTGGTTATGTATTGTAGTTTTCCTGGCCGGGCCGAACGCTTAACTGCAGCATTCATTGCTCACAAATTGGCAGGCAGGAGCCGCAGGCATATCCATTCAAACTGTTGCTTGCCGGGGAGGATGCCAACAGGAGCCGGAGGGAGCACTCTCCTGTGTTGTTGTTCAGTCAGTTAGTGGCTTATTTGCTAGCGAAAAATATCCTGTTCCAGCTTCCGTAACGCACAAGGAGTTGGAGGGGAGCGTAGGCATTCTAGGGAGCCATCTAGTTCATAGATTTATCTAAAATAAGTGAACCATCTAATTGTTCAATAAGTTCATCGTTGGCCCTTCTGGCTGCGAGGCAGGAAGGCGGAAGTCCCTGCAAATCCTAAGGACACGAA